AGGGATCCTTAGGACAGGTGTCAATCCATATCTGCCAAGTGACCCTATGTAGGGGGAACAGTCTCTATTCTGCTCTGTGTCAGTGTGTATCATGGTCTCTGAGGACAGGTGTCAATCCATATCTGCCAAGTGACCCTATGTAGGGGGACCAGTCCCTATTCTGCTCTGTGTCAGTGTGTATCAGGGAACCTTAGGACAGGTGTCAATCCATATCTGCCAAGTGACCTGATGTAGGGGGAACAGTCCTTATTCTGCTCTGTGTCAGTGTGTATCAGGGATCCTTAGGACAGGTGTCAATCCATATCTGCCAAGTGACCCTATGTAGGAGGAATAGTCCCTATTCTGCTCTGTGTCAGTGTGTATCAGGGAACCTTAGGACAGGTGTCAATCCATATCTGCCAAGTGACCCTATGTAGGAGGAACAGTCCCTATTCTGCTCTGTGTCATTGTGTATCAGGGATCCCTAGGACAGGTGTCAATCCATATCTGTCAAGTGACCCGATGTAGGGGGAACAGCCCCTATACTGCTCTGTGTCAGTGTGTATCAGGGATCCTTAGGACAGGTGTCAATCCATATCTGCCAAGTGACCCTATGTAGGAGGAACAGTCCCTATTCTGCTCTGTGTCAGTGTGTATCAAGGACCCTTAGGACAGGTGTCAAGCCATATCTGCCAAGTGTAGGGGGAACAGTCCCTATTCTGCTCTGTGTGAGGAGGAGGAATGGGAAATGAGTAGCTCGGCATCCAACCTTGTGCAAATGGAGTCTTTCATGCTGTCGTGCCTGTTGAGGGACCCTCGTATAAAAAGGCTGAAGGAAAACGACCTGTACTGGGTGTCCACGCTACTAGACCCCCGGTATAAGCAGACAGTGGCGGAAATGTGACCGAATTACAAGTCAGAAAGGATGCAGCATTTGCTAAATAAATTAAAAAGTATGCTTTACACAGCGTATAAGGGTGATGTCACAGCACAACGGGAATCTAACAGGGGAAGAGGTGAAAGTCATCCTCCTCCTCCCACGACCACGCATATCTGCCAAGTGACCCTATGTAGGGGTAACAGTCCCTATTCTGCTCTGTGTCAATGTGTATCAGGGGCTCTGAGGACAGGTGTCAATCCATATCTGCCAAGTGACCCTATGTAGGGGAACAGTCCCTATTCTGTTCTGTGTCAGTGTGTATCAGGGATCCTAGGACAGGTGTCAATCCATATCTGCCAAGTGACCCTATGTAGGGGGAACAGTCTCTATTCTGCTCTGTGTCAGTGTGTATCATGGTCTCTGAGGACAGGTGTCAATCCATATCTGCCAAGTGACCCTATGTAGGGGGAACAGTCTCTATTCTGCTCTGTGTCAGTGTGTATCATGGTCTCTGAGGACAGGTGTCAATCTGCCAAGTGACCCTATGTAGGAGGAACAGTCCCTATTCTGCTCTGTGTCAGTGTGTATCAGGGATCATTAGGACAGGTGTCAATCCATATCTGCCAAGTGACCCTATGTAGGGGGGACAGTCTCTATTCTGCTCTGTGTCAGTGTGTATCATGGTCTCTGAGGACAGGTGTCAATCCATATCTGCCAAGTGACCCTATGTAGGGGGAACAGTTTCTATTCTGCTCTGTGTCAGTGTGTATCATGGTCTCTGAGGACAGGTGTCAATCCATATCTGCTAAGTGACCCTATGTAGGAGAACAGTCTCTATTCTGCTCTGTGTCAGTGTGTATCATGGTCTCTGAGGACAGGTATCAATCCATATCTGCCAGGTGACCCTATGTAGGAGAACAGTCTCTATTCTGCTCTGTGTCAGTGTGTATCATGGTCTCTGAGGACAGGTGTCAATCCATAACTGCCAAGTGACCCTATGTAGGGGGAACAGTCTCTATTCTACTCTGTGTCAGTGTGTATCAGGGATCCCTAGGACAGGTGTCAATCCATATCTGCCAAGTGACCCTATGTAGGGGAACAGTCTCTATTCTGCTCTGTGTCAGTGTGTATCATGGTCTCTGAGGACAGGAGTCAATCCATATCTGCCAAGTGACCCTATGTAGGGGAACAGTCTCTATTCTGCTCTGTGTCAGTGTGTATCATGGTCTCTGAGGACAGGTGTCAATCCATATCTGCCAAAGGACCCTATGTAGGGGGAACAGTCTCTATTCTGCTCTGTGTCAGTGTGTATCAGGGGCTCTGAGGACAGGTGTTAATCCATATCTGCCAAGTGACCCTATGTAGGGGGAACAGTCTCTATTCTGCTCTGTGTCAGTGTGTATCATGGTCTCTGAGGACAGGTGTCAATCCATATCTGCCAAGTGACCCTATGTAGGAGGAACAGTCTCTATTCTGCTCTGTGTCAGTGTGTATCAGGGGATCTGAGGACAGGTGTCAATCCATACCTGCCAAGTGACCCTATGTAGGGGAACAGTCTCTATTCTGCTCTGTGTCAGTGTGTATCATGGTCTCTGAGGACAGGTGTCAATCCATATCTGCCAAGTGACCCTATGTAGGAGGAACAGTCTCTATTCTGCTCTGTGTCAGTGTGTATCATGGTCTCTGAGTACAGGTGTCAATCCATATCTGCCAAGTGACCCTATGTAGGGGAACAGTCTCTATTCTGCTCTGTGTCAGTGTGTATCATGATCTCTGAGGACAGGTGTCAATCCATATCTGCCAAGTGACCCTATGTAGGAGGAACAGTCTCTATTCTGCTCTGTACCAGTGTGTATCAGGTGCTCTGAGGACAGGTGTGTAACGGATCGCCTGGTACCCCGACTGGGTACCTCCGTTGAAGGATGCTCCTAGCGCTTCCTGAGGACTCCAAGCACTCTGGCAGACACCACAATCACCGAACCGTAGGAGCATATGAATGCTCTCAAGCATTTGAATGCTGTAGACAGTTGAATAGGAACCATACGAATAGGTTTACTCTCCTAGCAGTCAAACTGGAACAGCATACAATAAATCCTTCCCCCAATAATGAGACGACACTTCACTTTGAGGGTTAAAACAGGAACTCCCTGTACTGTCACATACAGTCTCCTTTATTCCCAATCCACAAACATAGTACAGCCCACAGGGCGTTACAAAACAACCAATCAATCCGCACAATACACCCAGACACTCCCACACAAAATCCTCCACTCCGCATGTGATATGATTACTGAACACAATGGGTAATCTCATTATCACCGGCAGAGGAATACAGTTTTTACACAATATTTATAACTTCTAAAATATACATGTCACAAACATAAAACATACATTTTCATAATCAATCCATTCAGGGGAACAACATATAAAAAAATGGCACGAATCAGACCAGGGGTTCAAAAGGGAAAGTCCTTTGTGACTAAATGAAGCATGGCTTTCCGGCCCAAACCAGTTTCAGAGTCTTCTATCCTGGAGATTGAATTGAGAAGTAATTCAATTATCTCCCAGGACAGACACAAGACTCCATTAAGCACATGGTTGCAAAAAGACACAAAACACTTTAAAATACATAAAGTCACCTTTACACATAAGACACAGACATTTCACATACCCCCAGATAGCTGGGACCTGAGCGCACAAAACTACCGAATAGCGCTCAGATCCTATTCACACAGTTCAATTGCCATGGAGCCGAAGTCTTTAACTACACGAATGGGCTCCATGGCATAGCTATCTGGGTTAACACATTCACATAAAGTCTGGTCCATAGTCCAAAGGCAAGAGGCGGGCAAGCAGCCCCCTCCAAGGACACGTGGTGAGGCCGGTTTCGCCACAAGGTGTCAATCCATATCTGCCAAGTGACCCTATGTAGGGGGAACAGTCTCTATTCTGCTCTTTGTCAGTGTGTATCAGGGATCCTTAAGATAGGTGTCAATCCATATCTGCCAAGTGACCCTATGTAGGGGGACCAGTCCCTATTCTGCTCTGTGTCCGTGTGCATCAGGGGCTCTGAGGACAGGTGTCAATCCGTATGTCAAGGTGTCAATATGTCATATGTCAGGTGTCAATCCATATTCATTGTGATTTAGGAATGTTAGGTGATTTCTGCCCTTTATGGATTAAAACCAGACTCTGCATTAACTGTGTAATTTTCCATGGGAGTTTTGCCATGGATCCCCCTCCGGCATGCAACAGTCCAGGTGTTAGTCCCCTTGAAACAACTTTTCCATCCCTATTGTGGCCAGAAAGAGTCCCTGTGTGTTTTAAAATTCGCCTGCCCATTGAAGTCTATGGCGGTTCGCCCGGTTCGCCGGTTCGCGAACATTTGCGGAAGTTCGCGTTCGCCGTTCGCGAACCGAAAATTTCGTGTTCGCGACATCACTAATCTTTCATTACTTAACTCTATAACAACAAAAAAAATCTAGAAAAATCAAGAACCAATCAGAAACAAGTAATGTATATATGAGGCACACCTTTTTGCTGCTCCATCCCAAGGACAGGTCAGAGTTTCTGCTCTCTTTACTGTCTCTCTATTGTATTATTGTGTCAGTTTGCTGTATTGTGACTGATGTTTTATTTTATTCTGTGGGGGTTGTGTTAGTGTGGGATCTGTTTGTATCCCCTGTTTTGCTTTTTTTCTCTGGCAGGCTCTGCCTGCACACTAGGCCTTATTTGTCAATTTCATTGCAGGCTCTGCCTACAATATTACTGTTTTTCCAATTTTTCGGACAGGCTGTGCCTGCACACTGTGTTATATTTGTCCTTTCCTGACAGACTCTTTGTCCCATTACTGTTTTTTTGTACCTAGCGGTCTCTCGTGTATCAATTTCCCTCTGGGTTGTATTATTTCTTTCCACCCTTCCTGGTGGACTAGTATTCCTGCGCCGTGTGCCACTCGTTTGGTGCTGTAAAATCTTCGGCTCTTTGGACCTCATTGGTAGTTTACAGTGGCCATCTTGCATCTCACATCTTGCAAGATCCACGGCGGCCATGTTGGTACGTCCGCTTGGTAGCGAGTGATGTGATTAGGGGGCTGACCGCTCCTTCCTCACAGTGCCTGTCTGCATCACAGCTCCTGCTGGTGCTCACTTCGGCAGCACATATACTAAAATTGGAACGATACAGAGAAGATTAGCATGGCTCCTGCTGAAGGATGACATGAAAAATAAAAATTCCTGAAGCTTTCCACGGATTCTATCAGTTTATACCTCTTTACAATCAATCACTGGCGTACATACCTGCAGACCCCTGCGACCGGGTGCCTGCCATCATCATTTGCGGCCTCGGCCCGAGCAGCAAACCGCTGGGCCTGCATGTTAAGGTGCCCATCTGGTGGCCCATGCTGTCAGTGCCACCCAATGGAGGCGGATTGTCAGGGGGCCTGGTAAGCGCTGCGGCACTTTAACAGCGCGACCGGGCACCCTGTGATGAGATCATCACACGCTGGGAGGAAGTGACTGCCCGTCACTCCTCACAGCTTTCACTGAGAGCCTGCGCGGGAGGAAGCAGAGGGAGTCAGAGTGGGAACTCTGACTCCCATCAACCTGAGCCACCACTGTACTCCAGGGAAAGTCACCCTCCTGCACCTAAAAGGTAGGAAACAGGAGGGTGACTTAAATATTATGTGCATGTGTGTTTGTTTTTTGTATATGTGCATGTATGTGTCTGTGTCTGTCTGTATGTGTCTTTGTATGTATGTGTTGTGTGTGTGTATGTATGTATGTGTCTTTGTATGTATGTCTTGTGTGTGTCTGTCTGTGTGTATGTATGTCTTTCTATGTATGCATGTATGTGTCTGTCTGTCTGTATGTGTGTGTCTGTCTGTCTGTCTGTTTTTATGTATGTATGTGTGTCTCTCTGTCTGTATGTGTCTGTCTGTATGTATGTGTCTTTGTATATATGTTTGTCGTGTGTGTGTGTCTGTATGTATGTGTGCCTGTCTGTTTGTATGTGTAGTGTGTGTATGTGTCTGTATGTATCTGTCTGTGTGTGTGTGTGTGTGTGTGTGTCTGCCGGGGCTTTGGGGGGAGGGGGAGAGGGAGGGAGCGGGGGGCAAATGGATCAGTTTTGCACCAGGGCCCCATGGGTTGTGTGTACGCCACTGCAATCAATTCTACCTGATTGGGTGTGGGGACTGAATTTAAGGTCAGTGTATTGACCCTAGAGGTTTTACTTGAGTGGTAGCTGCTGCTTGCCCTACTTGTTTACTTACATGTAATTGTGCTGCTGAGGGGAGTCTGCTAGTTCTGTCTCCTATACTGGGTGAGCCCCAGTTGTTTGACCACCTTTGTTATACGGCCTGTATTTACTGTGCCTGATATTATATATCTAAACTGTCTGTACACTTTGATCCATACCTCCTACACCTGGTCCCACTCCAACTACTGCCCTTAGTGCCTGCTAAGTATTGCAGTGGTCTGTCTGCCTACATAATTTGCCTTTGTGGTACTTTATGCATTGGGTCAATCACCCAGTGGTCTGTGATTCTAATAGAATATGGAGGACTCCTAAAAAAAACTTCACCCAGAAATCAACCTGCAAGAACTCAACGCTCATGTTGTTTACTGTTACTTCAAGATGGGAGGGTATACACCTCTCATGGGATCTGCTCCAAAACGGCGACTAGTATACAAGACTGTTCTTAAAGAATGCCGACCTCTCCATCCCTGCTCACGTCAACAGCCACACGTTCCTTAGGTTCTTATGATGGGGAATGCTTTGGCAATTCACTTGCCGCCTCTGTGGACTTAGCTTGGCTCCTTGGTGCTAAAAGATCCTAAAGCTGGTGGTTGCCCATCTTTGGACTAACTGTTGCATTCTGCTCTGAATGGACAGTGTATCTTCAGTGAGTTACATCAATCATCTCTGGGGCACTTATTCCTACATTTGGTCGCATCTCACGAAGTAGATTTCAATTTTTGTCTTCCTCACAACATATTGTTGAAGGTTTTCTTGCCATTGGATGGACAGCAGCGACTGAAAGCTGGAACCACTGCAGTTCGATTGCTCACCAAATTAGGTAGATGAAAGTGAAATTGGTTGATGCTGATTACTAGACCTTCCCCCATTGACGATTACAAGTGGACTCTACCCAATAAAAAACACAAATGTAACTCTTCCCTAAACTGTGAATTGTTTGGAATTAAGCACAGGGAATTGGAAAATATAGCCCAAAATAAATACGCTATAAGCTGACACTTATTCAACAAACAATGAATTAGGAAGAAAAATGCAAAAAAACTAGCTAAAAGAGTCCAGCTATTTCTGCAGGAGAGTTAGAGAATTTTTTCCAAATCAACTATATTTTGGTTTTTTTAATCATTGTAATTTGGTGTTTAGTGAATAAATCCCAGCTAAAAACATAGATCTGATTGGAAGAGCGGATGTGTCATCATCACTCTCTATGCCACTACCAAAAGGAAATGAGGGACTATTCCTTTAAGCACCAAAACTTTGCCTGTACATGTCAAGGTAAAGCAACAAAATTGAATGCATCCTTATTAAGTTAATCGTACCCATTGTACAGCGCTACGGAATCTGATGGCGCTATATAAATAATAAACTGATAATAAATAATCCTGTGTTATGCCCGTGTTCCTTACTGCTATATTGATTTGCCACAGTAGCTGAATAATTTTACAAAAATGGACATATTTTAATTATATAAATATGTGTTTGAGGACGTTCTCGTGACTATTTTCACTACTGGGTTTCAGAAAATAAGGGTCAGCTCTCAAACAAATTTGTTGCTGCTTTTAGTAGTCTTAATAGCCTGATTCTGATTATTAGTGTACTAAGTTCTGACTGGTAATTAATGGCTGATTCAATATTTCGCTTCTGTTCATATTGGTTACCTTAATTCTTGTAATGTTTTATTAAGCAATCATTCACGTTTTGGACAGAAATTCTCGATTTATTTTACTGGACTGTTTTACAAGTAAAAAATGACTTTGAGGAACATTACTGAGCCATGTATTAATGGGGTCTGCAATGTCTTTATATACATTTTATAGGAAAAGTGACATTGAAACATGTGTAAATGTGTATATAAAAATATACTGGATTTGTATTTTACAGCTGCATGAATCCATATATTTTAGAGAAATGCTACAGGTAAAAACTGGAGAAAAAAATCAAATCAATACTGCAAATAACACACAACCAATCAGAAAACAATGGGAGTTAAAATCATGATTGGGGAACAGAAAATGCACATTGACACATAAACATTAAAGGGATACTATAGTGCCAGGATGCAAAGCTGTATTCCTCTTCCTTCCGCCTCCCTCAAGCCCCCCTAGTCAGGGAATAAAGGGTAAAAGCCTTTTATTTACTTATTTTACCCTAGTGCTGATGTCCCTCGGTGCCAGGTCGCGGCTCCGCCTCCTTCTCCACCCCACAGCGTACGCATTAGACCTCCCCATAGGAAAGCATTGAATGAATGCTTTCTCATGCAGAGCGTGAGGACATTCAGCATCAGATACCGGACCAAAGGTCCATTTGGGGGGGGCGGGGCCGGGCCGCCGGGCCGAGTGGACGCCATTAACATGAGCTCCTGCACTAAGCGGATAAAAAAGGCACTAAAACACTCACCCCAGACTGCCTAACTATGCTATACTCCGCCAGATTCAAACAGAGAACGGCACCAGCTTACCCCCGATACCTGCACGATGCCCACCGCAAGCCAGGCAAGCAGAGAGGGCCGGGACCGGCCTACACGAGGCAGAGCGCCAGAATACCGGCGGCCATTACAGGCAGCACGGCGCTGCGGAGCAGAGAACAGAGGCATCCCGCTATAGACACCTAGACAGGGGGAGATACGCGGCCCGGGGCACGGCCCTGCCCCCCCCCCCTTTTTTGGCCGGCGGGGGATATCCCGGCTTCCAGGTGGAGGCACGGGTCGCAGCGGGAGTCCCCGTGGGGTCCGGATGCCGACCGCCTGCACTGGCACCGGCTGCAAGACACTCAGCCAGCCAGCAACATTGGAGGTGCCCGCGGAGGGGCTGAAACACTCACCCGAGGAGGCACCCAGATCGGTAGCAAGAAGGCTTAGACCCACACGGGAGAGCACCATTCTGAGCCCCTACACTGGCAAAGGCTGCCAAGATGAGGCCCACCAAGAAAATGGAACACAGGGACTGAGGAGGCAGACACGATGGAGAAAGTGCACCATGACAGAGGAGAAATGAGCTGGTGGGGGCCCAGAAGGTGAAGTGGAACAACGCACTCACTAGGGGGGTCTGGCATGGACTGCTCATACAGGCACAGGCGAAGCTGACGCCAGATGGAACCTCCGCGCTTACCCTGCACCCGCTGGAGCAGTGAGTACCCCGGCATCTGGGTATGGGGGTCCCCGGAGAGCTATGTCCCCGCTGCCGTGAGCCCTGTGGGGCAGGAGTGTGCTGCCCTTCCGGCGGACCGGTGGCCGTGGGATACGCATACCGGCCCCAAGAGTGAGGCCGACAGCGGGAGAGACTTGGGGGAACACACTCTTTGTGGAACGACACGGTGTTGGGGAGGTGCAGGGGGCGGGCGGGCCACAGACTTTGTGGTGGGGTCGAGTGGACGGCCTCAGCCCTTGGGTGCCCACGGCACAGTGGAGGACACAGCCAGCGGACTGGAGTAGGTGGGGAGAGGACGGAAGGAGGTTCGGCAACCCTGGGACTGTGCTGTAGCAGAGGCATACGAGACCAGGGACTGTCACACAGGACGACATCCCATGCTAAAGAGCCCCTAAGGGCATAAGTCTAATGCCGTTAATTAGAGCTTGTCTAATAACCGAACTGCAACATAAGATACTCAGACTCTAACTTCACGACACAGCCTACATACTACACCAATAGCTACAGCTAGTATCAGATTGATAAGTAATATAGCGTCTATACTATTCGATAATTAAGATGTTTTAATGTGAATAAGTATATGGTTTCTTGCTTTGCATTGCCCCCTGAGGCATTTGTTCACTGATGTTGCATAATGTTTATTACACTATAAACTGTATAAAGCTTGCCCATAGCGAAGACCTGTTCCGATTAAATACCTGAGCTAAATGGGCGTAAAACAGTTATTCCTAATACCCAAGTTAGACACATTCACACACTTCTGCCAAAAAATAAAAAATAAAAAAAATAATCAAATCTCACAGACACATAATGGTAGCCCACACACCACCTATCGACATCATCA